ACAACGACTATTGCATTTTACAATGGCATTTCACATGCTGAACCATTACTGATATTTTCTGTTGCAGACCCTGTCAATCTGCCTAAGGACATTTCGCTGAACGAAAGTTTGCCTAAAGACATATTGCCTAACGGACAGTTTGTCTAGCGGACAGTTTGCGTAATGGACAATTTGCCTAACGTAAAATTTGCCTGACGGACAGTTTGCCTATTAGGCGAAACATCCATTAAAAAACCATAAGTTAGGCAAGCTGTCCGTTCGGCAAATCGTCCGTTAGGCAGACTGACCGGTCACGGGAAATTCTTGTAGTGTTAACTAATGAAAAATCTCTGATTTATTCTAAAGATTTCTTAAATTCATTGAGAAGTACATTCAGAAATTTGAGGCTCACTTTTAAGAGATATACACATTTCAGTCTAAAATATACGCATTTCAGAAACACTCGATCGATACGAATCATCAAGCTATTCAGACAATTCGACAACAACAGCCATAACCTACAACCAATTGGATCATTCATGCCATCTGTTACTGTACAATTTAATGTACAAGTTCACATGTTACATTTTAAGTCTAATTTCATTCTTTCAACGGCACATTACTTTCATCCTGCCTGCTGTCGGCATGTCGTTTGGGGTTCGTGCCATGATATCGTTTCGTCTGAAAATCATCAACGAAGAAAATTTTCGAATTTATTAGCATTGAAAAACAAATGAAGGATTAGATAAGGCATGAAATAAGCTTGGTAAGATACATCGAGAAGACTGTCGGGAAGTGGTCTGCCTTTAGTCTCCGGAAGCAATATCATCGCGAGAACGGTCGCAAGCAACGTTATCAACGCTGCGCCAACGTATGGCGATGGACGCCAGAATTTCTGAAATTTAATTGACTGCGACAAAAAATAATCGCAATTATACAGCAATCGAGAACTTAGACGTTGGCTGAGATTCAGCAAATGAAACCGTAAGTGTGGGGGAAATGTTGAAATTCATATATACCTACAGTATTGTATAATTTATTCAAAATGCTGTTATTATCAATCGAAAAGTTTATGTTTTCGCACTGAAAAGAGCAATAATCACCGTAAGGTAGACCAGTTGTGGTGCCAGGACACTACCAATGAGACTTGTTATGCTGAATGTGGTTAGAGCTATCGAGCGTA